TGGACACTGCCGGGCCTCTGCCACCTCTCGCCTTGCTCCTAACTCCAGCACTCCGCTACTCTGCCTGCTCCTGCCTGATCGAGCCCTCTGGAACGTCCCGCCGGCACGCCCCATCACATATACCCCCCCAGGAATGCAACCCTCCGGGGGCGCACACAGTTCTACTCGTCGTTCTCCTTGAAGTTGTCTGACTCCTCTAACTCTTCTTCGACTTCTTGAAGATCATCTTCCCATGGCCTATTGATTTCTGCTTCGTCATCCTCGCTCATGTCTCCCAACACTGCCTGTAGCTCTGCTAGTGCTGTACCATTGCATGGAATGAATCTCCACAGGCGTCTAGCATGGAATAGTCCATTGAGTGGGAAGCCCTCAAGGGTAGCTAGCATATATGAGTTGCCGATGTGATCGACAAGTCGACGCGGGGCTAACCATTGCGGTTGTAGTTTGTGCACTGATGCCATTGTAAAGTCTAATGCATTAGCATAAACTTGTACAAGTTGTCCAGTCTCAAATATGACTTCACCTGTATGCGAGTGGAGGACTTTACGGTCGAACGTGGCTTTGCGTCGTGTGGAGTGGGCGACAGTATGGTCTGCAACCATCCAAATGCTGCTGATCAACGTATGCCATGTGGACGTCAACTTCCGAGGTACTCAACTCCGTTGACGTGTCTACGACTGGAGTCGGGTTGGTGTTGACAACAAGGCCCAATAGTAGCTCTTTTGGGGAAAATTTGAAGGTGGGAATGATGAGCTCGTTCAATTGACGTATGGCACTGCCGAAGTGATCCGGCCATGACTTAGCTAGGCTTTCTGCATCTGTGCTTTCATACTCGTCCTCTCCCAACCCCGGACTGCATAGTCTCTTTAATCTTCCCAAGAGCTTCCCATTGGTATTCTCTACTAAACCATTGATCCAGGGCGCATAAGCTGCAACTACGTGGTGTTTGGATTTGTGTGCTGTACACCACGCATGCACACTTCCATTGTCGAAGTGTGACCCACCGTCTGTCATAAGCGTGTCAGGTGCATGGAAGGTATGCGCTGTGGGTATCACAACCTGGCAGGCACATATAAGAAAAGTGCTCGACCAGTATAAGTGAGTCTCAGCTCTGCCTAGCTGCTATACTCGCAGAATGCAAGAACGTTCGACCCTAAAGGGGAAGCAAGAAAAGCAAGGATCCACGGAATGATGCTGAACAACCCTGGTGAATGGCGGTGAAAGCGCGAGAAAGCGCGCGTGGGAAAGCGAAGTGCGAAAGTGCGCGGAGCGCGGGAAGGTAGTGCAAGCAGTGCACAGGTGTAAAAGATATATACTGAGACTGATAAGAGGGAAAGCGCGGATCTAGACGGATACTGATAGTGCCACTAGCTATAGACTGATGCTAGGGCCTCAAAACAATGATGGACACATGCATTGCATGGAGCTAACTGGTGATAGATACTGAGTGGTAGGAAGGTAAGGTGGAATTAGTGGGGGTGTAAAACGAACATCAGAGTATGTAAGTTCTACCTAAGCGCTCTCCCAGGGCTCGGAGCCAAATAGGAAGCGCTCTAAGTATGTAAGTGAGGGTAAGGTGATGTAAAGTAAGGGTGCATAACGAAATGGGAAGTGTAATATGCTAAATATGGTCAGATAACGAAAAGGGACATACCGAGGGACTGGTTGGATGATGGATGGATGCTCCTGGATGCTGTGTGACATAGTGCGCTTAAGCGCGAGAAAACGCGCGAGGCGCGCACACGGGAATACTGCGCGTTGTGCGGGAAAGTGTCGCGCCTATGGCGCATTTCGCGGGAAGTGGTGCACTCTATAGGGAAGTCATAGTGGATGATAGTGCGAGTCGTGCCATGAAGGCCAGTCATCAGAATTCGTAATATGAGCCCATATGAGCCTGCAGAAATGCGAGTCTCTACAGCGCTATGGAGTTGAGCCCATCCACTGTTGTCTTTGCCGTACCGTGGACTCTCAACTTGAATCCCCAGATGTACTGCGAATATATGTCGAGGATCAACAGGACGTTATGGAAGCCGTTTTTGCCATTTGGAAGGACCAGATAGTCCGCTGTAGAGACACGCGTTTCTGCAGGCTCATATGGGCTCATATTACGAATTCTGATGACTGGCCTTCATGGCACGACTCGCACTATCATCCACTATGACTTCCCTATAGAGTGCACCACTTCCCGCGAAATGCGCCATAGGCGCGACACTTTCCCGCACAATGCACAGTATTCCTGCGTGCGCGCCTTGCGCGCTTTCTCGCGCTTAAGCGCCCTGCGTCACGCATCATCCAGGAGCATCCATCCATCGTCCAACCAGTCCCTTGGTATGTCCCTTTTCGTTATCTGACCATATTTGGCATATTACACTTCCCATTTCGTCATTGACCCTTACTTTACATCACTTTACCTCATTTACATACTTAGAGCACTCCCTATTCGGCTCCGAGCCCTGGGAGAGCGCTTAGGTAGAACTTACATACACTCATGTTCGTTTTACACCCCAACTATTCCACCTTAGCTTCATACCACCACCTTCCTACCACTCAGTATCTATCACCAGTTAGCTCCATGCAATGCATGAGTCCTTCATCATATTGAGGCCCTAGCATCAGTCTATAGCTAGTGGGCACTATCAGTATCCGTCTAGATCCGCACTTTCCCTCTTATCAGTCCCAGTATCCATCTTCTACACTTGTGCACTGCTTGCACTACCTTCCCACGCTCCGCGCACCTTCGCGCTTCACTTTCCCGCGCGCGCCTTCAGCGCATTTCTCGCGCTTTCACCGCCATTCACCAGGGTTGTTCAGCATCATTCCGTGGATCCTTGCTTTCCTTGCTTCCCCTTTAGGGTCGAACGTTCTTGCATTCTGCGAGTATAGCAGCTAGGCAGAGCTGAGACTCACTTATACTGGCTGAGCACTTTTCTTATATGTGCCTGCCAGGTTGTGATACCCACACCGCTACCAGTAGTTCGAAGGGGGTGGCGTCGAGTGATAGGGTACAGTAGCGAGTGCAGCTGCGTTGAACCAAAGTTCTTGCATTGTGGGCACTCCAGCAGTGCGCTCACGATAGACTTGTCCAACCTGGGGCTGATGATGTGATCCATCAGTTGGAGTTTAGTAAGGTCTCTGCCCCAGTCCCCATGGTTAGCATGTACTTGTTGTGCCATCTCCTTAGCCTCCAGTTGTGATACACATTCTAACCGTGCCCTCGCTCGCGTGGATTGACCATCCGCTATGCGCCATAGACGTCCTTCCTCAATCATATACCCTATAGTGCGATGTCACGCTCTGCAATGCTCGCGCTCAGGTTTGCTGCTATCAAGGTCTAATAGCGCCTCTATTACTTCCAAAAACAAAGGTTCTTGTTTGAAGCACTCTTGTAGTTCTGCGATCACTGTGTCAGTAGACTGTATGAGGAGGAGGTCATTTACCAGTCCATGAGATGCTTCCCAGTCCTCGCTGACAGACCATGTGCTCCCATCTCCATTCGTTCGTGGCCATCCTGACATGCGGCGACTCAGAGCATCTGCTGCTGTGTTGGTGGCTCCTGGATGATGGCGAACTGCGATGATCTGGTAAGCAAGTATCCCTTCACGCCAACATGCGTGTACCAGTGGGAGTTTGTTGCTGAGGAGAGTATCCCGCAGTGCGGTGCAATCAGTTTCTACCTCCACCGGAAAACCCCACACTGTAGACCCGAAGTGGTCAAACGCAAACTTCAATGCAGCGAATTCTAGTAAGTACAGCTGGTAGCGTTCTTCCGCTGGTGAGGTGTGTTTTGATGCAAATCCAATCAGGTAAATACTGGTGACGGTGTCACCTGATGGTTGTTGCGACGCGAACCTTTGTGCTAGTATGGCTCCAAATCCATCTTTACACCCATCACTAACAATAATGAAGGGCGTTCCATCAAATCTGGGTGCGTGCAGAACCGGTTCTGACACTAAGATCTGCTTGAGTTTGAGGAATGTCCAGGTGTGTCTTTGTTCCCAGAATGTATTGAGGCTGCGTTCCCATAAGTACTGTCTGTATTTGTGTTTCCCCCCTTTTGCACTGGGGGGTGGGAGGTCTAGATTCCATAGCAGATCTGTCAGCGGTAGTACCAAGCACGCGTAATCTTTGATGAGCACTCTAAAATATCCCGTTAGACCCAAGAAATGCATCAGTTCTAGTAGATTTGCTGGGACGGGCCAATCTGCTACTGCTGCAATCTTTGCTACATCTGGCCGGATGCCATCCTGCCCAACTTGCAACCCTCCGAAGACGACCTCTTCCATGAACAGCTGTGTCTTAGTAGGCGATATTGATAGCCCTCGCTCGCGACACCGTGTGAGGAAGAGACGTAAGCGCTTCAATAGTTCTTCAAAGATGTCACCTGCCATAGCGCCATCGTCCACATAAAGTTCTAGAAGTAACTCCACCATGATGTCATGCAGCGCTTGCACAGTGAGGTCACTAAAACAGGATGGCACACCATGTACCCCCATTGGCATGCGCTGGTAGGCTTCATACCCTCTTCCTTCTGTGTAAAAGCACAGATACGGCTGACTCTCTTCCTCCACTGGAATCGCATAAAAACCCGCTGCAAAGTCCAGTACACAAATGAACTTGTGTCCTGCTAAGCGCTGTTGCTTCGCTGCAATGTCTCCTTGAGGCATAGTTGCAACATCTGATACCTTATTGACGTCATTAAAGTTTTGACATATCCTCCATTTGACCTTGGTAGGATCTACTGGTTCTGGACTGACAACAGGTGCTAAGTTTATGTTCGTGTTCAGACTTGGAGGCTCACCGAGTGCGATACACTGCTGGTCGACGATTTGACAGATATCTTCCAGAGATAGGCTCGTTCCTGAGTGAGCCTTTTGTACCAGCACCGTTGACGCCACTGCTTTCACTTCGTCTGAAGGTATGAAGCGTGTGATTCCTGTGCGCCTCATGTCGTCCAGGACTGGAAAGAGATATTCTCATTGTGGTTTTGTCTTCGAGAATGTTGTGCTTTGTGGTATCTGCAGGCGGAACTTAATGAAATCCACTGGTTTTACCTCCCGGATGGACAACGCAAATACATCAGCGAATTCCGCCACCAACTCGCGTGATTTCTGTACTTCTTTATTAAGATGCGTGCCATACATTACTGCATTGACAATGGTTTCTACTCTTGATGGATAGAATGGTCCCTGCATTGTCAATCTGGTAAAAATGTCGTCAGGTAGCGCTGGGTGTGACAGATCCGGAACTTCACCTAGTATTGTCCCACCTTCGTCCACACTGTCCACATGGTAGGTCTCTGATATGGTTGTCTCTGGGTCTGGGTCTGTCGCGGTTAGTGGCTCTATGATCCAAGGTTCTGGGGATGGCGGATTGATATGTACTTGGGGTTCTGGTTTATTAAGTATTACATTTGGGGCTAACTTAAATTTTGAAGATGAAAGGAATTGTACGGCAGTGGGTAAGCATGGTGTTGGTAGCGGGCGATATGTAGAAAGGTTAGGTAAAAGAAAATGAGATGCCTTGTGTGGCAAATGAATAGCGTCAGTACTGTAGTCATGTACTGTGCTTACCTGCTCTAGTAATGGCTTGCTGATGAGCATCTGCCATGACCCACTGCTTGGAAAGACTTCAAAGTTCGTGTGGACTTGTACTGGTCCCCATGTGAACGTCCCTGTCCAGACACCGGTGGATGGAACTAGGGATCCATCAGCCATGCGCAAAGTTCTAGTTGATGGACTTAGCGGGGATAGGCATCATGCAATTCGTTGGTAAGCTGCTGTGTCTATGGTGTTAATCATTGCTCCATTGTCGACGATGGCGAGAAACCGTGCTTTCTTGCCTTGCGGGCCATGGAGGTGTGGCACAGTCAAGAATGGATTGCTTGTTCGAGACCGTGCAGGTTAACCAGATGCGTCCACCAAATAAACATCAGTAATAGCATTGTTTGGTGTAGGAGACGGTACAACCAAAGTAGTAGGCAGAGGAGAGTTAAGAGATGAAGATTCTATGTCCCTTGGTAGAGGAACTTCGGAGCTAGTGTATCATATACAGTATCTTGTGTGTGCGGCGTGGTTTGTGGTTCATAATGGGAAGGAATATCAGGTGGTTGGATAGATGGTGTGGTAACTGACAGGCTGGAGTTTACTGGGACTACTGCTGGTCCGTCTGCAGCAGTGGTCCCACATAATTTTCCATCCCCCAATCATACCCTGATTCTTGCGTGGTCCACACATCTTGCCCATCCCATCCACTATGCTCCTCTTGTTGCACCACTAAGTAAACCAGAGCTGGGAGTGATGTTCCATATGAGCCGTAATAAGGGTGTGTTGCTGGGGCCACATACTGAACCGGGGCTGTTGAATATGCTAGGCGATTTGTCGGCAATGCAGTGCGTCTGAGTAGACCTGCAACTTGCTGTTGCCAACGAGACTCCTGTGACCTTAGGTGCTCTTGTGCGATGCACTGGGCACCCACATGCGGTGGGTCTGTGACCATGCTGCAACTGTAACATTCCCCAGAGCCGCTAAGTGCCTTGCCTGTACGGAGCGGATATGGTTTGTCAAGGGTTGGGAATCCTTCTACCACCCCGTGGTTGCGATGCCATAGCTCAATATCTGCTTCGTACTGGCGTACTCCAGCCTCTGTATTGGCTCTCTGGGGCATCATGGCTAACTTCTCCATGATTTGCACTCTGGTTAACTGCATCCGCATGAACGGTGCCCCCCTCATCCCAAATCCTGCTCCTCGTCCTGCTCCCATGGGCATGACCTGGTTATTTGGTGCTGTCATTGGTGGGGTTGGGTTCAACACGGGGTATATGACTCCTGCTGCATTCGGTTGGACTGCTGACTGGATAGGTAGTGTTGGTGTGCGCATTGAGGTTTGATACGCTGGTGGGTTAGACCGTTGACCATTCGTCGACATTTGAGAGAACTGGTACTGGAGGGATGTTAATGATGGTTGCGCCTTCAATCTTGCGATATCCATGTCCCTGGCCCGCTCCTTGTTCAAGTCTTCTCGACCTCTCTTGAGTTTGACGCTCGAGACACTCTGCACATCTTCCAGAAACTCATCCCAATCTGCGTATTCGCACTTGAGGTGGTCCTTCAATAGATTAGGAACACCTTTGATAACATATTCAATCAGATATCCTTCCGTATCTTCCCATGCCCTAGGGACAAACACGACACTTTGGTCGCCCAAACCACATGTCCATAGTTTGCCTGCTGTCCATAACCCGATGTCGTTCTTGTCCAGTACCTCTGCCATGACCCGTTCCTTTTGCTGCGCTCATGAGTACTTGGGTCGTTTGGAGGTGGCCAGCGTTTCCTAAATATAGTTCTGAGACCTAGGAAGGTACTGATTTGTGTGGACGAGAGACCCTGGAACCATTCTTCCGCTATTTGCCCTGGAGCAAGCTGCATTGCAAAACAGTCTATTCGCTGCGTGTCAAACCAGGTCTTGGGCAGTGATAACTCGAACTGCAGAAACCATTCAGTAGGTTCTTCTTTGTCTCCATAATCTCCCTTGAATAGCGGTACATCCTTGGATGCTCGCGATTAGTCATGATTGGTAGTATCGAATTGGTAATGTGCGGAGGGGGTAGGTTGGGTGATTGTGAGTGACGAGACTGTAGTGGGTGAGGAAGGTGTGCTCTCGTTTTGTTTGGGAGTAAAGTAAGCTGCCCGCAAAGCAAAGGTGAAGTCTCTGGTTGGCTCCTCACTCTGACTGGGGGAGGATTGGTTTGAGTACAGTGTATGAGAAGGGCTTCCGATATGTCCGATTCTGATGGTGCGTGCTGACGCCCTAAGTGAGGCGGAAGTGAAACAATACGACGAAGTGGGGTAGTAGGTAGCTGATCCTCTGGAAATGCTGGAAAGAAAGTGAGTTGAGTAGGAAGGGAAATTGGGTTTCTGTTCCGAGTCTCTCCGTATGCGTAAGTCCCTGAAGTCTGCACAGTTGTTCACATTGATTTGCCCCGAACTTGTTGCATCTAAGATTGAGTGCTGGGTTGCTGCCCCACTCTCATCACCAGATGGATTGGCCAGCACTGCGGTCGAGAGACCGAAGAGAACCTGACTGTCATGTCTGCATGGATGATGATGGCCTCTACAAACATGCACTGAGTGTATGTCTACTGCTATGACCCCGGACACCGCCGGGCCTCTGTCACCTCTCACCTTGCTCCTAACTCCAGCACTCCGCTACTCTGCCTGCTCCTGCCTGATCGAGCCCTCTGGAACGTCCCCCGGCATGCCCCATCACATTGGACAGTCCTCACCCATTAGTTTCTAGTTTGGATCTGATCCGGATTAGCCGTCACTCTACACATTCAATATCCGGAAGCCTTAACGGATCCGTTATGATACTTATCCGTCTCACTAGACACAATACTCTAGCACTCTGAAATAAGGGGCAAGACTCGGGAGAGGGGCACAGCACACGAGCTGAGGCCAAAGCCCTTCGGATCCGATACTACTTGAGTACGGTCTTAACATGATGAGGCCAAACTGCTATTTCGATTAGCACATGGTGAGTGTCGGACCTGCTGAAGTGACTTACTAGGTGGTCATTTTGCATATGACTGGAGTATTGATCATAAGGTTGAAAGGAAAGTTCATCTGAAAAAGCCGAGTTGGTCGACATGAAGTCAAAACCTGTTCAGAACAAACTAAATTTGGTGTAGCTCAGGACGATGTTTGTAAACACTCATTTTGGTTTAATTGACACAAATGATAGTTTGGATGGCACTTAAGTAAGTGAAATAGTCAAATATCTTGAATTTCGTGAGGATATATGTACACAACAACTCTAATATTATTATGGTTCACATGTCACACTACGG